TGACACCACAGAAATAAAAATAATTACTAAATAATTCTGCAAACAATTACATGCCAACAAATTTGATAACCTAGAAGAGACTGATAAATTTCTAGAAACATATACCCTTCTAAGACAGAACCAAGAAGAAACAGAAAATCTAAACAGACTGATTACTAGCAATGAAATTGAAGCAGTAATTAAAAAAAACTTGAACAAATAAAAGTTCAGGAGCAGAAGGCTTCACAGGTGAATTCTACCAAACTGTGCCTTGCCAGCCCGGCCAAGGGTGAACCTGAGGAGGGGTGGTGAAGGATTAAAGAACACAGACAAGAGAATCCAGCTGGGGCTTGGTGGATCTCCCGTGCCTGGATGAGGACACAGAAAGACCCAGCATGCAAGCTGAGGCTTTATTTTATAGTCAGAACACACAAAGCAAAACAAGGGTAGTGGTCAACATGTTTACAATGTTCTTGTGAGTTTCACCTTATTTTGGTAGCACTTGTTGCACCTCCCACAGCCCATTAGCTACCTAGGAAGGAACTAGGGAGAGGTATAAGGTTAAGCTTAATTATGCTAAGAGGGCTCTGCCCTTCAAGCTGGGACTTGTTTGTGGTCCTGCCACAGGTCAATCAGAGGCTTGACCCTATAGCCGCTCCCTACACCAAACAAAGAAGAATTACATATCCTTCTTAAACTATTTCAAAAAATTGAAAGAAATGTTTCCAAATTCACTCTACAAAACTAGCATTACCCTAATATCAAAAACAGACATTACAAAAAAAGAAAACTATAGGCCAATATATACAAATCTATCAACATGATACATCACATTAACAAAATGTAGGACAAAAATCATATGATCATTTCAATAGATGCAGAAAAAAGCATTTGACAAAACTCAATATCCTTTTATGATAAAAACTGAGTGGGTATAGAAGGAACATACCTAAACATAATAAAGGCCATATATGGCAAACACATAGCTGTCATCAGACTGAATGGTGAAAAGCTGAAAGATTTTCCTTTAAGATCAGGAATAAGACAAGGATACCTGCTATCACCACTCTTAGTCAACATAGTATTGGAAGTCTTAGCCATAGCAATAAGACAAGGAAAAAAATAAAAAGGAGGAGAAACCAAGATGGCAGCATAGGTAAACACCGGAAATTGCTGCCTCACACAACCACTTCAAAAATACAACTAAAAGACAAAATGGACATCATTCAGAACCACAAGAAGGCTGGCTGAGTGGAAATTCTACAACTAGAAGGAAAGAGAAAAGCACACTGAGACTCAGAGGAGGTGCGGAAGTAAAGTGCAGAGGTAAGGAGGCGCACGTGGAAAGGGCTGGCAACTGAGGACGCGGTTGTCTTTTTCAATCTGGACGGAGTCTCAAGCTCCCAACTGCTCTGAACTCCAGTTCCGGGCGAGTCTCTGGGGACCCAGACTCATACTGGGAGAAACTGGACTGTCTGGCATCGGGCGGAACTCAAGGGTGGCTTTCTCTCAGAGGTGCTTGCAGCAATTACCGGGACACTGAGATGCGAGGCCTCTTAGGGTAGGACTGAGGAGCAGCCATAGCTGCTTGCTCCGCCCTGTTGATTCCCTGAGACCCCGCCCCACCCAAGCTGTGCCCAGAGGCTTTTGCATATGAAAGGCCTGGCCCTTTGCAATCTGAAAATTACCTAACAAACTGCAGCTGGGTCAGA